TATATCATTCTAGTAAGATTTTTAGCCAAATTATTAGAATTAGTCATGTAAAAACCTTCTATTTGACTAACTTATAATTAATAAGAATATTTAAAAAATTAAAATTAATTATGTACGGACTATATGAATAATTCTAGCCGTTTGATATAAATATCCCGAAAAAATAATAGATTAAAAACTTAACATATAAAATTGACCTTGAACTATTAATTCTAAAAATTTATCAAAGAGCTTGTAACTCGAGTGTTAGTGGTCTCTTGCAATAAGAGGTCACGAGTTCAAATCTTAATAGATCGGTTTTGCTAGGAGCCTTGGGTGTGTGAGTTTTTTTAAAAAAAAACCATTCGGATGCCATATGATATTAGTCAATGAATTAATTTTATAATTCGATCCCCAAATAAAATAATAATGATGATGATGATCTTGAACTCAAACCCTTAATCAAACAATCACCGGATCAATGCATATTGTAAAATAATTCTATGGTTTCGTTAATAATCTTTCATACCGTAATATGAAATTGTTTAAATTAACTACATTGCACTATTTTTCTCAATATTTTCAATTAGACAAGTAGGATTAATTCAATAATATGAACTCAATTACATAAAAATTAGGGTTAATGGTTCAAATTATCCTTATAAAATGATAATTCTCTAATCTATCATTGAATATACATTAAGTGTCTAATATATAATTTTAGTAAGATTTTTAGCCACATTATTAAAATTAGTCACATAAAAACCTTCTATTTGACTAACCTATAATTAATAAGAATATTTAAAAAATTAAAATTAATTATGTATAAACTATATGAATAATTCTAGTGGTGTGATATAAAAATCTCGACAAAATAATAGATTAAAAACTTAACACGTAAAATTGACTTTGAACTATAAATTTTAAAAACTTATCAAAGAGATTATAATTCAGTGATAATAGTATCGTATCTATGACAAGAGATCAAGGATTAAAAAAAAATCTAAATGAAACAGTAACTAATTATCATAGCTTTTTTGACAATCTAAAAAGATTGGGAAAAAAGATAGGTAATGATGGGCAATGAGAAGCTAAGACCCAGAGGCCCACAAGACCATCAAAGTGGGGAAGCTAGGGCACATTAATTCCTGGGATTCCTAGGGCACATATATTTTGTTAAACCCTAATCATACGTTCAAACCTGCACTGTTAAATAATAAAAAAAAAAATAGAGACAAATGAGTTTCTCCATTAATATCACCTACCAAATGCTTCCCCACTACTAACCATCAATAAACAAACAATCAATCTATCTGTCTATCTATAAAGTTGGAAGGAAGGCTGAAACCAAACCTAGCCAGCTTTGTCAAATTGATTACCCGTTACATTTATCTATATATAGCCTTCGATCTCAAACATTAATTATACCTTAGTCCGCAAGCAACTTTAATGGACCGCTGGTATACGTGTCAATTTTTTATTGGATTGTGGTTTCACTTGAGCATGCATGTAGTGTGGGTTTCTTGCAGAAGCTCCCTAAAAGTAATAAGGTTGTTGTTTAGCCAACTAATTAATGATGATTGACCCTTGTTTAGCAAAATTACTAAAGCACCTCGATCTAGTTTCAAAATTACAGATACGTACAGCTTTACTCTTTTATCATCATCATCATTACCAGTAGTTTCATTTTTTTTTATGTTATTAAATTTGTTGTGGTCCTAACCAAATAATAATAATAAAAAATAAAATAAAAATAATAATAAAATAAAATTTCTTGGGCCATGTTTGGATTTTATGGCACAATGCACCCGTGGAGCCTGCAATAAAGTGAAGAAGTTAAAGAAAAAAGAAAATGGAAACACTAAATCCTTCATCATAAGTCTCTTTCAAGTGTTATTTTTTCTGTTCTATTGTTTTCTTTCAACAACCAATTCTGAGCTAGTGCCATATGCCCTTTTTTTTTGTGCTATAAAGGTAAATTCTATTCGGAATTTTAGTCAATTTAAAAATCAGTTTCTGAAATTTTAATTTGTATTTTGATCTATCTAAACTTTTTATTTTTATTTTTTGAAATTTAGTTCATTCTTTAATTTTCTATCTTTTATCTAAAAAAAAAAGTAATTACATAAATAATTTCATGTTGAAAATCATTCAGTTAAATGCATTTGGATCTCCTTAAAAGTTTTGAAATCATTTTAGATTATTTTCTATTTTTCTCAATTTTTCATATTTTTAATGTTAAAAAGATAAATAAATATAATTCTCGATTTTGAAAATTTATGATTTTTTATTAAATGGATTGATTTTTTCTTAACATGTATCCAGAATTTCAGATCAAAATAGTTAATATCGAATTGTTTAGAGAGAGGGATGATGACTGAAAATCATACGATGAATCAAATCTAATAAAAAAAGGTTAAAAAATGTCAAAATATAAATTAAAAATTCAAAGACTGTTTTTAAAATGAACTAAACTTAAGAAATTTTTTGGCTCTTCTAACTTTTTTTTTTTTAATGCCAAATTAGTTGTGCATTTGGTAGTTTTTTTTTTTTTTTTCCAACGAGAAGCTATATTATTAAATCTATTTCTTAGACGATCTTAATAACTCACCTCATATCCACCCTGAGCGTTTTTCTAGTTTTTTTTTTGTAATTTTATAAAATATTCTTAAACCGAAAAATGTTATTTTGATGTTTTGGCCAAATTCCAAAATAATTGACAGCTTCCTCTTGACCACACTCTCATCTCAGGTTCCAAATCTCCATGCATTGCCCCAACCTGGCAACCTCTAATCCGGTACTTGATAAGGACGCATCCTATGTTTTGTCACGCTGCCGTTGGACTAAGCCTAAGACTTCATCTTCAATCAATCCACGACAACATGCGCAATAAGCGAAAGAACATCCCATGTTTCGTCGTGCTGCTTACAGATAATCAAGTATTTTCGGATCAATTTTTACACATAATAAAATATTTTTGAATAATTTTTATATTAATTTATAGTAAATTCATTTGTATTTTTTTCTACATCAGCATCCAGTCATGTCTAAATTCATTAGCATCGGTTCTAAAGATTAAATTTCTTTGAATTCATTAGCAATCAATATTTATTATTAAAAAAAGAAAAGAGATGAGATTTTTAAAGATGAATGGAACTCATGATCTAACGAGTCAGATATATTCTTCTTACTACCTCAACTACTAATTTCGATATAAATTATCTATATATCTTAAACTAAATTTAATTTAATAGCTAATAAAGTTTGAATTCATATTGTACCCAGTAAGAAAACGTCATTGTTGGACATCTTTACTATTAACCATCATGAAGAAATATTCTATTTGTCCTAAAAAATTATTTTTTATATAAATTAAGAAAATTATTAATTATTATACCATGCTAACATATTTTGTTTATATCTTTCTAAAAACATATTTCAGAACATATATAAATAGAAGGGTTCTGTGACTGAATGAGTGCAAGAAAGATCATAGAAATTGTCATTTATAGAAGTATAATGTATTACCAAAATGGCCAATTTAGTAAATACTCTCATAAGTAGGGTGCTTTTCTTAAAAAGACCTCCTTCAACCAACCCAACAGCTTGCCAAACACACTGGAAAGAGCAGACCACCACCCCCAAACCCTAAGGTGGGTTAGGACCAAAACAAGAAGGTGGGACCAGCGCATGAAGAGAGCAGGCTTTGGCTTTCACTTTTAACTGTTTGACCACCCACTGTCTTTTATAACGGGAAAAATTACATTAACATGGCACATTCATTGTTGGTGGTGTTGTTGAGAGAGAAGGAAACATTAAACGCAGAAAGAAAAGAAGGCAGTCAGGCTACCCCAACAAAGTCTTTTCCTTTTCATAAAGCAAAAATCCTCCTTAGATTCTTCTCCTTCTCTTCTTACTTCACATTCTCCTCTTTTCCTTCTCTCTTTCTCGCTCTCTTTGTAATCTCAGAGTGTCAACTTGCTACAATAATCTTTCTTGCATGTACTGGTGTTAAGCATATTTTTGAGGTTTGGTCACACATTGTGCTGTTATCTCTGTAAGTGCTTTTTTTCACCTGGGTTTTCATCCTTTGGTTTATAAATTAAAATTTGGAGCTCAATTTTTGCTTTTTAGTTGTAAAGTTTTGATCTTGGCTGCCTTCTGAGTTTTGCTTGAGAATTTGGAATGTGGTTATGTTGTGTGTTTTGCTTCTGTTAAGAAAGTTTAGGTTTTGATTGGTGAAGAATTTTTTGTGTGGAGAAATTTGGTAATGTGGGTTGGAGTTGTTGGAATGTAGTTAAGAACATAAAACCCGGTAACTGCACCTATAAGTAAAGGACATACTTTTATGGCATAATTTGTTTCTTGCTTTAATTAAAAGCTTTATTAGGATGACATTTTTCTTTCCCTTTGTTTCATGGTTGTATTATTGAGCTTGAAATATAAGAGGTTTTTATTTTCTGTCTTTTTATCATGCTCTTTTGAATCATTAGAGTAGCTTGGGGAATCTAGTGTTGGCAACTGGAGATCAGAGTTGCTTCAGATCGACAACATTCTGTTCTTTGAATGAAGTTGATAATTTGGTTTGAATTAGGAAGTTATTTGAAGTTTGGTGCTTAATAAGTGATTTGATTTTTGGGACTTGTACTTGCGGGCACTAGCAAATTGAGTTTCCATTTAACTTGTAAACTCAACCATTAATTTCTTGCATATCTTCACTCATTGTAATACATGGCCCTTCCTTGTCTTCATTTCCTTTTTGCCTTTGTGCATTTGAATAATGATTTCCTTGGTTTGAGTGTATTTTTTTAAATACAATTCAATATGAATGATCAAGACTCTTGCTAGACTATATGCTGCCTTTTAAGCACATGCAGTAATTAAAAGTGAATTTCTATGGTTTTTAATCTGTACAAACATCGGGATGTTTACGCAATGAAATTTAATGAGGTGTGAAATTTATATGTTTGATTTTGTTTTTTGGGATTGGCTTATGGTGAGCAGGAACCTAATCTGAATAAATGGCGAAGATAAGTCCAGAAATTGAAGAAAATATGCAGGGAGAAGTAATTTTTCCTGTTTCAGCGGATGTGAGCTTTGCTTCTGATGGATTTCCAAAATATAAATTAGGACCTGATAACCAGATTTTGGAAGAGCCAAAAGAGGACAACAAGGGTCCATCTTTAAAGGAGGTCGTTGAACAGGAAACTACGCAGCTGTCCGATCAGCACAAGCGACTCTCAGTTCGAGACCTTGCTTGTAAATTCGACAAGAACTTGACTGCTGCTGCTAAGTTGGCTGAAGAGGTTCCCTAACTTTGCCATTTTTCCTATGTGGCTTTATTCATTTTCTTTTTATTTATGCTCGGGCATGCACAAATAAGGAATACTCAATTCTAACATTCAGCACTGTTTGTTTCTTGCAATTGAAAGCTATATCCTGTGTTTCCTTAGCTTAATTAAAGGCCATCTGCTCTTTCTCTTTCTGATGGTCTGTTACTATGCCTTTTTGCCCTGCCTTAAAAGAGTATGAACTTCTGACGTGGATCGATTACAAAATTAATTGTACTTTTTTCTCTGAAATCCAGGCAAAGCTTAGAGACGTGGCTTCTTTGGAAGGACATGTTCTTTTAAAGAAGCTTAGAGATGCCCTGGAATCTTTAAGAGGTCGTATGGCAGGGCGAAACAAGGAGGATGTGGAGAAAGCCATCTCTATGGTCCGCCTTCCCCCTCTTCCACCTTTCCATTTCCTTTATTGGCTGATAGTCTTTTGTATGTTTCAAATGGTACCACGTGGTGGATATTTTCAATATGCATTTAATAAGTCTGTACAATTTAGTTACCCTTTCCAGATTCTAATTCATTTTGTTGTTTTTTTTTTTTTAACCTCTAACTGTTATTTTTCTTTAAAATTTACTGAAGAAGTCTTTTTGCAAGTGCATTTGCATGCATTTCTTATTCTCTTTCTGCATTTGCAATATTTGATTGTTGTCAACTATAATCTTTTATGCAGGTGGAGGCATTAGCGGTTAAATTGACTCAAAAAGAGGGAGAATTAATTCAAGAAAAATTTGAAGTGAAAAAGCTGGCTAACTTTCTTAAACAGGTTGGTCAGTAGTGTTATAAATTTTCATATAGGTTCTTCAAAGAACTACTTCTTCTGCAACAGATTTATCATTTGGTTCCTTGCATAATTTTAGAGCATGACATTTTCCTATAGTTTCTGATGTTAGTAAATGAAACATAGGATGAGTCTGAACTTTGAGGTTTGGGTGTCACTTAGGATACCATGTGATTCTCTTACCCTAATGGCCTAACCATTTGTTTTCCTGGAATAATGCCTTAGAACTGTGGTCCTAATGTGCACATTTTGATTGATGAAGTTTCTGAAATTTGTGCCCCGTGAAAATCTTGTGTAAATGCACTTCTTATGGAGCCTTTTTTTTCTACCTTCTAAATCCTTAGTAATATGAAGTATTATTTTATTTATGTCTACAGGCTTCTGAAGATGCTAAAAAGTTAGTGAACCAAGAAAAATCTTTTGCTTGTGCTGAAATTGAAAGTGCCAGAGCTGTGGTACAAAGGATTGGAGAGGCCCTAGATGAAGAAGAAAGGGAAGCTGAAAGTTTGAAAAACCAGGCTGCTGTGAGTTCTTTCATCATCAAATCATTTGTTGTCACTCAGTTAATTCCAACACACTAAATTTTCTCATTTTATTGCTAAAATTGCACATTCTTCACATAAATTTGTTCACTATAATGCTGGAGATTTGGCTTGGATATTACTAATACTGCAATATAACTGTTGTTTATGTTATCTTTATACAGCTACAACAATAGTATTTTGCATGAAACTATATAAGTACTTGGTCTGTAATATCAATCGGTGCATGAGATGGCTATCAAATATGTCATGAGAATATCCCTTGACGTGCTTGTTATTGCAGGATATGGAAGAACTAGTTGAGGAGGTTCAAGAGGCTAGACGAATTAAATTATTGCATCAGCCTAGCAAGGTACATTAATATTGTCTCTTTTCATTTGTAATAGCAGATAGGATATTTATTGTATCTGTCTTATTACTGCATAGAGCTGACACACTGGGAGCTGTACAAGACTTTTGATTTGATTGGATCATCTTTTTTTACTTTTTGATTGGTTCAGATTTGGTTTGTTCTCATTCTAACGTTAAATTAAGTTTAACCCAAATGAGTTCTCTTCGGCAAATGATGACGCTGCAATTCAAATCAGTGTATTCCCTTAATATGCCACATGCCATTGGTAGTTGCAATTTTTGTAGCAGAAACTTTCTTATCACCACAACTAGTCATGGGGTTCATTGAAGTGAATTTCAGGATTACGTTGCCCTTTTCCTCTCTTCCTACCATTGCTTCATTGGTGTTAAGATGGATACTGTAGTTATGCTATCTTCATTCCAAGCCCTTCGATTATAAAATTGCATTTGTAAAAGCCTGGCAGTGATTGTGACCGACCCATGACAAATGGAAATTTCATTTCAACAGGATGAAAGTTGTTGTGATGTGTGATCAAATAGATGCTTTGATCTGTACATAAATTGGTAAATGAATTTGGAGGGGTTGGTCCTTTGAAAATGATTCATGCTCTACTGTTTATGTATTGTTCCATTTTCATTAATGACAATTTTGCAAATGCTTTATTTGCCCGCTCTTTGCATTTCTCTTGTGTCTTTGGCGCAAATATTCAGGCCTAGTAATGAAACTGTGACGTGAAGAATGCATATCTCCATTATATTATTGTTCAACTTGCAAAGTGATTAGAGTTGCTTATTGTTCTTCACATAACCTTACAAGAATCTATTGATGGTAATTTAATATTAGCCTTGTGTTCTTTTTTCTAGCCACATTTTATGCGCAAGGCTCAGATTTTCCAGTTTTGATAGTGTTATGGATTCATTTTAACTATAATTTGTTGACTGTAAAGCATATAACACTTTTGCAGGTTATGGACATGGAGCATGAGCTTCGCGCACTACGAAATCAAATTCGGGAGAAGTCTATAGTTTCAGTTAAACTTCAGAAAGAGGTTTGTTGTACATTGTCTTAAATTTCTAAATTTTCTCATGCAAACAACTTCTATTGTACGATTTCGCTTTGGCTGATATGATCTAATTTTCTTTTAATACATATATGTCAGAACATTTGCACTAATGATTTCCTTTTCATTCTAGCTGGCAAAAAGCAAGAGAGCTGAACAGAATAAATCTGCACCCTATGTCCTAGATGGTTCTGAAACTCTAGGTTCATCTCTACAACTCAAGCCTCGTTCCGATAGTTCTCTGCTTCTTTCGAAGTGTTCAGTTCAGTGGTACCGTGTATCACCTGAAGGCAGCCAAAATGAAGTCATTTCAGGTATTCAGTTCATATAACAAGTTTTGTAGAACATTTAGGAAAGATACTACATCGATCATTTTGGAATATATATATATATATGAGTTTTGCTTTGTTTTCTCCCTATTAATTGAGGTTCAAGAAGTCCTTTCAGAAGGAGAGTGCTCCATTGATATTAATAATGACTTTGTAGCTCATGTAGTCTGGAATTTTCTTTAGGACAATTATGCGTCAAGTTTAGCCTTAATCCTCCTTAAGCATAATCCTAGATGGTATCATCAGCGATGAAAGCAGGCATTCCAAACATTGACATTATTCTGTGTCCTAAATTTTTAGGCTTCCAATCTATCTTCAAGATGGTGGTTGAGATGATTCAGGAGCCTTTATGTTTGTTATCTTACATTCACTCCATCTTACGAAAGTCAATGTTCTGATTCTACAGGTGCCGATAAAACATCTTATGCTCCCGAACCATTTGATGTTGGCCGAGTATTGCAAGTGGACATTGTTTCAAATGGCCAGAGAATCTCTGTAACAACTACTGGTCCCATTGAGCCTGGTTGGTGTTAATTATGTATATTGTTCCTCTAGATAATAATATTGTTCTGTGGTTGCCCATTCCTTCCTTTTCTCTGCTGTTCTTGTCTTTTTCTTGTAATCTGTATCAGATTTCTAGACAGGGCTCCTTTGTTACTATTGGTGCTTGCAACATTTATAGTAATGCATCAAATTACTTGTAACAGCTGCAGGATTGGCAACTCATGTAGAGAATCTTTTGAGAAAATCTAGCTCTGAATTTAGCGTATGTGACCTTGTTCTTCCCCTTTCCCTTTCATTTCTGTTTAATGTTTCTTAATTGTATTGCAATACTATGTATTATGGTCATCTTCCAAAAGCCAACCCACTTATGTGAGAACAAGCACGCACATATGATGTTAATGCATGCATTTCATTTGTTTTTACTTGGTTTTGACATTTCATGTAATGCAGGTGGTTATTTCCCAGATGAATGGACAAGATCATCCATCACACTCTGTTCATGTATTTAATGTGGGAAAAATGAGGATAAAGCTTTGCAGAGGGTGGATTACAAAGGCTAGAGAAATTTATTCAGCATCGATGCTGGTAACTTGTTCTGCCTATGCAAGACTAGTGTAAAATAATGCGACCAGCAAACTAAGAACACTGCCAATAAGTTTGTCGTATCTCTTTGATCATTGCCCTTTTCTACCCGCAGTTATGTGGAGTTAGAACCAATGGCAACACTGCTGCAAAATCATTGTTTTGGCAACCAAGGAAGGGCCTTTCCTTCATGTTAACATTTGACTCAGAGCGACATAGGAATGCAGCGATAATGCTCGCCAGGAAATATGCTTATGATTGCAATGGGGTACCTTATCATTCTTTCTATTTTATATGCCAATACAATCTTTTCGGCATTTATAACTTCCCATCCATTTCCCTGATTTTCGTAAAACTGCTCTCTTCTCGTATCAACCCTTGACCTTTTCATTCTTTCTATTTTATATGCCAATACAATCTTTTCTGCATTTATAACTTCTGTCCATTTTCGACCTCTTCATTCTTTCTATTTTATATGCCAATACAATCTTTTCTGCATTTATAACTTCTGTCCATTTTCCTGGTATTTTTCTTAAAACCACTCTCGTCTCTTATCAACCCTTGCATTTGCAGGTCATACTTGCCGGGCCGGAAGATCAAGCATAGAAGAAAATGCAACTGACCAAGTTTTTTTTAACAAGATGCGAGTATAATCAGGTTTTCATAGCTTGAGTGATTGTATGTGTGTGTTTGCCATGATGAAAGAAGAATACACCTTTCTGATTGTATTTGGGCTTCTACTAATCTGGTTCCTCTCGTTTTAGGCATAGTTTTTTATTTGCCTAATCGTCTGTTGTAACAAATTCACCATTTTTGATTGATTGGTTCTTTTGTGCCTTGCATATCTTTTTTCACTACTTTTGTGCACAATGTCCATTTGCTTTTTTCGGTTCAAAGTACGACTCTTAGACGACACAATAGTCCTTCTCAATTCCTAAACCCTAATTCCATCTCTTATAAAGATGAATGACTTGACATTTTAATGACATTACAGACATTAAAAGCTTAGTAATGAAATCTGTACTTGTAATTTATTGCTACTCTTGCAAAATAAGAGTGCTAGAACTCGAGTAAACTATAAATTAGTCCATCTAGTTTTGAAAAATAAATTAATTAGTCTCTTTTTGTACAAAAATTAATTTCTATGTTTCTTGATTAGTTTTATTTCAAAAGATGTCTTTTTTTTCCTTCTTCATAATATCTATTTATTTCTAGTTTTAAAACAAGTGCTAGAACTCGAGTAAATTATAAATTAGTCCATCTAGCTTTGAAAAATAAATTAATTAGTTTTTTTTTTTCAAAAATTAATTACTATGTTTCTTGATTGGTTTTATTTCAAAAGATGTCTTTTTTTTCTTCTTTAGAATATCTATTTATTTCTATTTTTAAAACAAGTGCTAGAACTCTAGTAAATTATAAATTAGTCCATCTAGTTTTGAAAAATAAATAAATTTATTCTTTTTGGCCAATTCTATCATTTGTGGCATTGATATTACATTCTGTGAATTCAGAAACACATAGAAGAAATCTATACTGTCAGCCCTTTTCAATTTTTTTGCTAATCTTAACCAGATTAAATTTAAACCCATCGTCATCCTCCTCCTCTATTGATCAAATCAATCACCACCATCCCGAATAATGATCTAAAGACCCATAACAACAGATCTGTTGTTGATATTAGAAGCCCTCATTTGAAGCTCTTTTAAATTAATAGACCATCACTATTTTGAATTAACACTTGTAATTAGGGATGGCAATGGGGTGCCCTGTCCAGAAAAATTTCACCCCATCCTCACCCCGTATCTTGTTTGGGCCGAAATTTTGAGTATTATCCTCACCCTAAATAGGACGAGGCTCCATCAAATTGTCATTTCTAAAAGCAAAATAGTGGGATGGGGGCCCGTCCTCGGCCTACTTCAAAAGTTTTTATCTTATCCTTGTCTTGTGCTTCATTTAAAATAAAATTTTGAGTATCATCCTTGTCCCAAAAGAGACCCCACGGGGGGTCGGTGGACGGGCGCGCCCTAACGGGAAGGGGGGGGGGGGTTTGCAAATTGCCATCCCTACTCGTAATCATCTGCATGCACTCGTCCACCTTACTCTTCTTCCTCACCAGTTCAACACTTGGGCGTAGATTTCCCATCGATATCAATATACCTGTCCTTGTCGGTGTCTACGTCCTCTATAGGGCGATGGAGCTCATACGTGGTGTAAGGGGACCCCATGGATTTCAGCATTCTTTTTAGCTCAAAAGTTGAGATTGCGTCGAATTTGATTTGTTGATGGTGAACTGGACTCATGTTTAATAGAAAAAAAAAACTTGAATTTTGTTTGAAAATAGAAAGGACTCGCTCAATATTTGAAGGCAATGGTTGAAAATTCGGAGAAAGGCTGAATTTAGGGTTTGTTTGAGGGATTTTGAGAATTGGAAATTTTAGAGATTTGAAAATCAAGATTTTCCAACCAGAGAGCATGAGAATGAATTTGAGAGAATGAAAATAGGATTTCATAATGAAAAATAATGAGTTGGGTTAGGATGTTAGGAAGGGGGTAATGCAGTCTTTTTCCATAATTTTTAAATATTAAATATTATTTAATAATAAAAATGTCATGTGGTTATTCGTGATTAATTACTATTAATTTTAACGTATAACAACGTAAGATAAACATTTAACAGAAAGTTCAAATTAACAAATTTTTAAAAATAAAATCAATCAAGATAAAAAAATTCAAGGAATACATGAAACAAATAAATAGTTAATTTGTTACATTTACAAAACCAACTATTTTACACGCATTAGAGAAAAGAATTTTCTTTTCTCATGAATCTCAAAACACAAAAGGTTTCAAAATTCAATAATTTCAGCTTTTTCAGCAATCAAACAAAATAATGAATCAAAACCAAATAAAACACAAATATATTTTTTAGTGCTATTTTTTTTTCCTTGAAAAATCTACAAAAGTTAGGCTTTCTTAAACCAAGAATTCCCTTTCCTAAGCACCAAGAACCGAGAAAAAAAAATTGAAAAAGTTCCGAACTTGAACAATTTCTCACATTTTTCTTCACTTTGTCAATAAAAAAAAAAAACATGAAATTTCTTTTCTCGTTTGAAAAATATGAGTTGTGCCAACTAAATACACAAAACACTTGCCACCTTCAGCTTTCAATTTGCACATGAGAACCATGACATAACTAGAAAATTCATGTGGTAGCTCTTTCCCTTAGACGGTTGTTTGGTGGTGGCAGGGAGGGAATTTAGTGGCGGTAGCAGTAGAGAAGAACCAGTGTGACTGGGGGAGCTGAGTCGGGTGAGTAGCGAGTGAGCCAACGCTTCATAACTCTGGTCGACAGAGGGGAGACTGAAAGAAAAAAAGGGTTAATTTTCCTTATGTTAATTTTTCTTTTTCTTTTTTTCTCAAAAAAAAAAAAAAAGAAAAGAAAAGAAAAAGTTTGTTTTTCCTTTGATCTTAAGATAATTTGCATTAATAAAGAAAGCAAAGAAAATATATTAGGAGAACAACCATAGGCTAAGTTTTAGAAATAATTATTTTACCATTGATATATGAATGTTGTAAATTAAATAAAAAAGTTTAAGAATAAATATATTCATCAGTCTTTATATAATATTTAAAGTCTTCCTTTTGTTCTTAGATTTTTAATTGCATTCCATATGTCTTTGAAATTTTTTGAAATTTTCAATTTGTCCTTCCAATTAAATTTTACGATCATGGAATTTTTTTTTAACCGAAATGCTCTTTACTAAAATAAAAAAAATACTTAAAAGTCATATGACCTATAAATTCTATTTTTTAAGTCTTTGGAATTTTATTTTATTTTAGTTTTGCATTTCAATCGGAGTATTTCGATCATAAACAAATTATTTGGCTGAAAAAATTGATCGAAAGGATATGTTGAATATTTTAAACACTTTCAAAGATAAATATGATGCAATTAGAAATGTAAGAATATACAATTTTTTTTAATATTATATAAGCACATATAAATATATTTATTCAAAGTTGAAAGAAAATATGTATTTAACATTTTGGATAAGCTAAACACTAGGTTTATATCATGGGTATTGCATAACATGAAAAAAGAAATTTATGGATTTGATTTCTTTATTTATTTCTAGGCTAAAAGGGAAAGAAGATCAGAAAAAAGAAAGAAACAACTCAGCCTCCAATAAAAAAAAAGAAAAAAGAGTATATGTTTGAATTATTCACTTGGACCCTTATGTCACCAAATCTCCATCAAATCATAATTATAACATGACACGCGTCAGAGACCAAGCAAGCAGCAGGCCAATATAACTCGTAGTACGGAAGTTTCATTAAATTTACAGTGTAAATAGCACTTCCGGCCTTTCTTACCTTGTATAATATTTTAACGCAACGGTAACTTTAGCCCACAGACTGCAACCCTCACCAACGGCTATAAATCTCTGGCGCTCTAGACACCGTAGGATCAAACAAAGATCCAACGGATCAAAATTAAAATAAATTCGACCGTTGGAAGTGAAGCGGTGGTTCCTTTAGCTTCAAAAAGAGAAGGGTTTCTTTCTCCCATTCGTATTATTTCCCAGTCTCTCATTTTTCTTCTCAGAAATCAAGAGAAAAGGTTTAGAAAAGACAACAAGAAAAGTTTTGAGAGAGTAATTTTAGAGAGAAGTAGAGAGGGATTTGTTTTATAATCAAGGGTTTTTCTCTTTAGTCAATCTAAAATGGCTTCAAGGGTTCAACAAGAAGCAGTGAGAGGTATTTTGATTTTCTTTCTCTGATTTATTCTTCTGTATTTGATTCTGTTTCTTTGTTTTTTGTCGATCATTGATTAATGGGTTCTTTTCTTTTTATTCTTCTTTACAATGGTTCTTTTTTGGTTGAATCTAATAGTGGTATCTCAAAAGATCTTTTTGATTTCAAGTGTTCTTTTAGGGTTTTTGATTAATCAGTTTGATAATTGGATTGAAACCCGATGTGATTTCATTTACATTTGTTGTTCTTGATCATGTTTTTAATTTGTATTGGGTTTTCTCTTTGATACCCACGTAATGATTTTGATGCTTCTTTAATATTTAAATAGTTTATGAGATTTATTGTTTTTCTTTAGGGTTTTCTTAATTACGGATTTTATCGTTACAAACTTTATAGATTTGATTAACCTTCCAGGAAAAGATTAGATCTTTGGTGTTTAGATTTTTCTGTTTTCCCTTTTTAGTTTGTTTTCTTTGTAATTTCTGTTTGGTTGCTGAGAAAAATAAAGGAACCCCACCAGAAAGAAAGCAAAAGACTGACTAAATACTCTTTTTGGAGTTCATTTTCTTTCAACATTTATTCTATTTTTATTGATTTCAATGGTTAACAGTGTGACTATTTTGATGGGCTTCTAATGAATGATAATCTGTCACAGATGAAGCAGTTGTAGGTGTAAACAAGAACGTGAAGAAAAATGTAGCAGCGGGTGAAGGAAAAAGCCGCCGTGTTCTCGGCGATATTGGTAATCTGGTTCCTGTTAGAGGAATGGAGGGCAAACCTCAGCCAAATCGCCCCATTACTAGGTAGGTTCATCTCTGTCTTTCAGTAATTTATTTGTGTTTTGTAGTCAAAATTGTTTCGTTTATGCTGATTTTGTGTTCTTCGATAGGAGTTTCTGTGCTCAATTGCTTGCCAATGCTCAAGCTGCCGCAGCTGCAGAGAACAACAAGGTTCAATCTCTTTAAAATTGTATCGACTGCAGATTTTGAGTTCTGGGTTGTTTGATTTCCTTACTGAGTTTCCTTTGAATGCAGAAACAAGCATGTGTCAATGTGGAAAAGGCGCCTGCTGCTGGTGTTGATGTAGTGGCTGCAGTGGGAAGGAAAGTTGCAGGAAAAAAGCCAGCTCAGAAGAAAGTTACTGTGAAGCCAAAGCCTGAAGAGGTGATTGAGATAAGCCCTGATGGTGAAGAGGTTAAGCAAGAGAAGCCAGTGAACAAGAAAAAGGAAGGAGAAGGATCTGCAAAGAAGAACAAGCCAACTCTTACTTCAGTCCTCACTGCTAGAAGCAAGGTGATTATATTGACATGTTCTTTTGAAACTTTTTGTTGGTGTCTGGGGTTTTCTTGTGCTAATCCGGTCCTTATTTCAGGCTGCTTGTGGTATTGCAAACAAACCAAAGGAGCAGATTATTGATATTGATGCAGCAGATGTTAAAAATGATTTGGCCGGGGTAGAATACGTTGAGGACATTTACAAGTTCTACAAGCTAGTTGAGGTATGTATAAGGAGGACATGAAATCTACATGTTCCTTAATCAGTTTTACGCTCCTTTTGTTTATGTATAAAGTGTACTTCGAGGCCTGATGTTCTGGACCTGGTTTTTGTTGATTTTGTGATGCAGAACGAGAGCCGGCCTAATAACTACGTGGACAGGCAGCCTGAACTAAATGAGAAAATGAGGGCCATTCTTGTGGATTGGTTGGTCGATGTGCACCAGAAGTTCGAGCTCTCACCTGAGACTCTTTACCTCACAATCAATATCATTGATAGGTTCCTTTCTGTTAAGACTGTTCCCAGAAGGGAATTGCAGCTTGTGGGCATCAGTGCCACACTTGTGGCCTCCAAATATGAAGAGATATGGGCTCCTGAGGTAGTAATCGAAACCTTCTATTTCAACTTTAGATTGTTCTTTTCAGGTATCTAACTGTTTGATGAATTGAATTTTGCAGGTCAATGACCTGGTGTGCATTTCAGACAGAGCTTACAGTCACGAACAGATTCTAGTTATGGAGAAGACAATACTGGCAAACCTGGAATGGACACTGACAGTGCCTACACACTACGTTTTCCTTGCTCGTTTCATTAAGGCATCAATTCCTGAGAAGCAGGTGAGTTCTTAATCTACTGATCTCTTGATCTTAATGTTTTTATACCATTTGCTCAAAATGCAAGGTTACTTATCTGCAATTGCTGTTTTTGATGACATGTTTAGATGGAGAACATGGTCTATTTTCTAGCTGAGTTGGGCATGATGCATTACGACGCTATCATGTTTTGCCCATCAATGGTTGCTGCCTCAGCAGTTTATGTGGCTCGATGCACTCTAAACAAAACCCCTTTCTGGACTGACACCCTCAAGAAGCACACTGGATTCTCAGAACCACAACTTAGGTTAGTCTTTTTTTTTTATCACTATCTTTTCAATGGACTGACAGTCACCCTCATGAAGCAACACTGGATTCTGAGAACAAATTGATTTATGGTATGATGATTCTTTGTCTTTCAACAGGGATTGTGCTGGATTGCTGGTGTATTTCCACTCGAAAGCCGCAGAACATAGACTTCAGACTGTGTACAGGAAGTACTCAAAGCCAGAGCGAGGAGCTGTTGCACTGCTTCCACCAGCCAAAAGTCTCTTGCCTGGCAGTTTGAGCCAATGACGAAGATCACAAATTGTTTAGTTTGAAATTCTTGACATTCATTTGCTTTATGCGAGCAAGAATATATATGATGACTGGACCAATCTATTTGTTGGATTAGATGATCAATTTGTTTGTTGGTCCTGAGCAATAGTTTTCTTTTCTGATCGTAAATTTGTTGTACTCTCAAAATATTTCATTTGAGCCATCTAAAAATGAAAGCCTCCTCCTTTTTGGCTTGTGGACTTTTTATTCATCAAGTTGTCCCCATTATTCATACAAAAAAAGGGTTCCAAGTGACCCTTTTTATGCAAGTGAAAGCCCAGCCTCCTTTCTTTTACCAATTTCATTCTGACCAACTTTTTGTACTTTGGTTGTCCCCATTATTCATACAAAAATCATCGCACTTTTTATATATATATATTAGCCATCCTTCTGCAATAGTTAATTTCAATTAGTCCAACAAATAAGCCTCCTCCTTTTTGCTTGTGGACGACCATTCATCATCATTACTATTATCTTTTGACCTCAATGTGCCGGACACAACACCCACCACCAACCTGCAACGCAGCCAAGAACAAAACAGAAACCCTAAATAGAGAAGGTTGTGACGTTGATTTGATGTATTCAATGAAATATTGGCCCACTGAGACACACTAAGAACGATTTTGGAAGACAAACACAACACTCTTCTTTGGTGGGGGTTATTAATTAAATTCTCCACCACTACCAGCAACCGTGTAGGCCGGCTAGGCTGGAAAGGGTTCCAAGCCTTCCTTTTTATCTTTTACTTTGGCTCTTCAGTCCAACAAATTAGCCTCCTATATCTATTTTTTGACCAATTTTTGTACTTGATGTGTACCATGCTTTTACAATGGTAAACTTTTACAATGAGCACAAATGCTTATCACTAAAAAAATGCTTTTACATTTGATATATACGAGAGCACCCTTTCGAACCGATATATTTTTGTCTAATCTATAAAAGTGTTAATTGCCACCTTATGATCAACGTCTATCTCTGGAGGTTAAAGATCTCGTCACGTCACATGGGATATTATGGAAAGGAGCCACTCGCTCTGAGCAAAACAGAAACGCAAATTAATGGAGGATTAACGTATTCAATACAATATTGGCCCACTTACAGCAAAGAAAGATTTTGGAAGAATGCAATGCAAGGAAGAGGACACTACTACTATTAATAGAAGGATATTGTTAGAAATTACAGACAAGTAAAAGACAGGTCACTCAAGTTGGGGTAAAAACTGTCGACAGACAAGGTGCAACATGACCAAATCAAATGGCCTTTTATTTTCTGGTATTTTTTTTTTAAAATTTTAAGTATTACGAAGCTAGTTTCATGGATTTGATGAAATCTTGCATTTCTAAAAAGAATAATCGTGTGCAATTTCTCTGAAGTTTGGATGTGATCAGAAATCAACACAAATTACCTGGTGCATGTGGTAGAAGAAACAGGAGTATTAGGTAAGCAAGCCTCGTTTGAAATAATTGAGGAAATATATGGAAAGTCAATCATGGTGCATGTAAGGTGGGGTTAAAGCAAGGAAAAAGTAGTTGAAGGTTAAAAACTTTTCAGGTGGTCAAATTCTTGATGCTTGAAAGGATCCAATTTTACATCAGATCGATAAATGGCAGCTGGACAAGAAGTGAGAATATGAGAATATATACATTAAGAGATTTGAGCAAAACATCTCTCATTCGGTTGCTTTAAATCCATATATATATATATATATATATAGACGCAATCAATATTCTGTTCTTTCAAACATGAAGTTTGGGAAGGAATTTGCCTCACAAATGGTGCCAGAATGGCAAGAAGCTTACATGGGTTATGATCATTTGAAGACCCTTCTGAAAGACATCAAGCGTACGAAGCAAAAAAAGAGGCCATCAGGTGACCTAAACCGAGCTTTAACTCTGTACAGAACTTTCAGTGGTCTAATACAGAGGCAGAAGAAGCATTCTACAGGCTCAAAGGACATTGAAAGCCAAGCCATTCCTGAGAATTCTGCGAGTGCCCCTGAAAGTTACGATACATTTTTTCTCCTGGCTGCCAAGGAAGGAGGGGAACCTGTGTTAGTGTTCTTGAAAAAGCTTGGCGATGAGTTTGATAAGGTTGACAGCTTTTACAAATCTAAGGTCCAAGAGGTGATGGATGAAGCTGAAATGTTGAGCAAGCAAATGGATACTTTGATTGCCTTTCGTGTGAAAGCGGAGAACTTGCAGGGATTGTTTAATAAGTCTAGAAGCTTGAATCATCTTGGTTCTGATGTTGCAGCGACAACTTCATCTATTGCTGGATCAAGTAGTAAGTTCTTATAATGGAGCTACCATGTTTCAGTTCTGCAATTTAGTTTTACAATCTCGGTTCCTTTTCGGTTATTTGAATTGATATATTCTGCTTCATGTGCAGGAAGTATCTCCATGGATGTACAGTCGAATCGAAGGCAAGTGGATGACCTAAATGACGGTATAGATGATAAACATACCGATACCATCCGCGAAGAGATTGATGAAAAGAAACTAAAGAACAGCAGTAGATGGAAAGCAGCTCCATTAGAAATACTTAATCAAGCGAAACTGAAAAGAATTTGTGAAACTCCTCGTTCAACCATCAAAGGCTTCTTCGACATGTCTAATCAAACCGAGCCAAAGTTTAGTAAAAAAATTTAAAGAAAGCTGAAAAACAGCTCAAGCTGGCTTTCAGTGAATTTTACTACAAGCTTCAGCTTCTAAAGAACTATAGGTGACAAAATTTTGTTCATGGACTTGATTTTTTCCTATCCGAATTGAAGTCTCTGCAGATACTTGGATTCCTATATGCTTAACGAATCTTCTTGTTTGCATTTGAAAACAGCTACTTGAATATCCGAGCATTTTCAAAAATAGTGAAGAAATATGATAAGGTATATATCCCCTGTTAAAAGACAGATCTCCCTCTCACCATATGCTAAGCTTCGTAATTAGAAGTTAACATCAACCTGACTTTCTATGTTTTGATTTCGTCGTTGCAGATTACTTCTAAACGCACATTAAATACCTATTTGAACATGATAGATAACTCCTCCCTTGGCAGCTCTAATGACGTGAGCATTATCTATTCATTTTGTTCAGGAATCAGTGTACATGAATTAGTATTTCTACATTCTAAATCCTTGCAATCTGCTTTGTTGATCTGCCATTGCAGGTAACCATGCTCATGGAGAGAGTTGAACTAACATTCATCAAACATTTCTCTGATTCAAACCGACAAAAAGCTATGGACACATTAAGACAAAAATCTAAGAAAGAAAGACATAGGATATCATTTTCCATCGGTAAGTGTGAAAATCAACGTAATTTGAACTTGCACAGACTGTTTTACTGAATCTGTTCTGTGGAAACCTTTCCAGGCCTCTTTGTTGGCTGTGCATTGGCTCTCATTCTAGCTCTTGCATTAATCATACATGCTCGAGATCTTCTGAACAAGGAAGGGCAAAACCAGTACATGGAGAACATGTTTCCTCTTTACAGGTATGTAACAGAGAAGGGTTGAAGCATCTGTGCTTCCGGAACTCTGTGATTAATAGAACCTGGCCAGGAGATTGTTCTTTATTTACAGTCTTTAGTATCGGTAACATCTTTGTTCTGGAACTCTGTGATTCAGCAGGGGCCTATACATCCCATGTTGTCTTTTTCATGAGAAACCTCTGCAGTTTATTTAACAAGTCATTTCATACCTGTTTGCAGCCTGTTCGGATTTGTTGTTCTACATATGCTTATGTATGCTGGGAATATATACTTCTGGAGGCGGTACCGGATCAATTATACCTTCATATTTGGCTTCAAACAAGGAGCAGAACTGGGTTACCGAGATGTTCTGATGTTAGGCTTTGGTCTAGCGGTGCTGTCAATAGCCAGCGTGCTTGCAAACCTTGACATGGAAATGGATCCCAGAACAAAAGATTACGAAGGATTGACTGAACTTGTACCTTTAGGTTTGGTTGTGGTAAGAAATAAGAATAGTGAAGCAATCCAACATCCCTACTATTTTCCCTGCCAAATTTATAAATGCATGTGCAGTACTGTGCTCAACTAGTTCCTTTTTTGCTGGTATTTGCAGCTTGTGCTTATCATATGCATCTTCCCATTCAACATTATATATCGCTCAAGTCGCTTCTTCTTTCTCACAAGTTTGCTTCACTGCATCTGTGCTCCTCTATACAAGGTAATATTGTCACAGTTCTAGTAGAATAGGAAATATAAAAGGGATCAACTTATTCATCTATGATTTCTCTTTCTTTGCAGGTCTCATTCCAGGATTTCTTCTTGGCAGATCAGTTAACTAGCCAGGTTTGTCGAGAAACCAGTTCTGCATATGCTTTCGATCATCATACGAGTACTGCCACTTAGTTATTGAGCATCGATCCCTCGCTGTTTAATTACAGGTGCAAGCCCTTAGAAGCTTGGAGTTCTACATATGCTACTATGGCTGGGGAGACTATAAACTAAGACAAAATACATGCAAAACCAGTGATGTATACAGCACTTTCAATTTCATCATTGCTGTAATTCCTTACTGGTCTCGTCTCCTTCAGGTAACTGTGATTCTAAGATGAAAAAAAGAAATGCTGAAGTTGGAATTACAGCTGCTTTAAAGACTTGTTACGCCTTGGCAATTACAACTATTTTCCAATTTTCAGTGCGTTCGACGCCTCTTTGAAGAGAAGGACATGAAGCAAGGATATAATGGGCTTAAGTATTTCTTCACAATTGTTGCCGTCTGTACCAGGACTGCATACAGTCTTGATAAAGGACTGGCCTGGAAAGCGATCGCCGGAATATTCTCAGCAATTGCTGCTGTCTATGGTACATACTGGGACCTAGTCATGGACTGGGGGCTTCTGCAATTTAAGTCGAAGAACTGGTTGCTAAGAGACAAACTCCTTATCCCATACCGAAGCGTGTATTTTGGAGCAATGGTGAGTAAGAATAATGCATGTCAAACCAAAATGCTTTTATCAGCACTTGCAGAGTGAAATCGAAATTGTGGTTTGTGGACCTTAAGTTGACAGAAAATGAGGAAAAATCATATCTGAGCATAAACATGTAAACCAGATTCTGATTCCTGTGATGTTGGTGAAAAATGCAGGTCCTGAATGTATTGCTGAGATTTGCCTGGTTGCAAACTGTCCTGAACTTCCAAGTGTCTTTCCTACATGCACAGAGCTTAATTGCAATTGTTGCCAGCCTAGAGATTATTCGTCGCGGATTATGGAACTTTTTCAGGTAACAATAATTTTATTTGAAAAGAACATAAAATCCTCATCAACTTCATAGCAAGCTGCATTTTGTGGACAATCTAAAGAATCACATTTCTAGTAGCTAACCCTGTTCACATTCTGTCTGATCGGCCAGGTTGGAGAATGAACATTTACACAACGTTGGAAAGTATCGCGCATTCAAGTCTGTACCACTACCTTTCGACTACAATGTAGACGAAGACAAACATCAGTTGGTTATTGCATCAGAACAAAATCAATAGACAAGGAAGTTAGTTATCCAAGAACAGATAGCAAAGATAGAAAATGCAACAGGAGGAATATTCTCAGAAGTAGGAATTCGGAGGAACTTGAATGTTTTCTCACTTTGTGTTTGTAGTTAGGGAGGGGGAAAGTCCCCTAAATGTGTATTTCTCCTTGCTATGAATACCACTTGGTTACTTATTGAATTATTTATGGAAGAGTTTCCCATCCAAACTTCCAACAGTTTCTTGAGGACTAGGGCTAACTGGAAATTGGAATAACATGACATGTATAATTGCTTATTTGATGCTGTCTAGAAAACATCAAAATCTAAACATCCAATTCAGTTTTCTTTCTTTCTTTCATCTTTATAGAGTTTTTTCGATTAAGCCGTAGCTGATAAGATCACTGATCGACAATGGAGCAGCAATTTCTGTCCTTGTTTGAGTCAGCCAAGAAATCTGCAGATGCTGTGGTCACTTCTGCTTCAATATTTCCTGAAATCTATCGATGCCTAGATGCTTTGGACCAGCTTAAGAGGTTCCCCGTAACATCATCCAGGGTTCTTGTCTCCACTCCTGTTGCAAAAGGGGTTCAGCGTCTCACAAAGCACCGTGTAAAGATGATCAGGACTGCTGCTTCTTGCTTGCTCGATACGTGGAGTAGGAAACTGTACTCAAGAAACCCTGCCATTGATGGAAAACCTCAGCCAACAAGGTCTGGCAGTGGGTCAAGAACTGGGGTTCTTACTGTCAAGATACACGGAAGAGTAATCGGAAGGATTAAAGTTAACATGCCTATTAAGACAGTAAAGATTGCAGAGAAGAAGATAAAACAAGAGAAGGAAAATGGGTTTACTTGTTTCAAGAAACCAACTCAAGAACCTGCCATGCGCTTCACAAAGCCAGGGAAAGTGCAAAGCATGAGGCGGTGTTTCAAGAAACCACCAGAAGCATCTGCCAAGTGCAACACAATGCAAGAGAAAGTGAGAGATTCAAGTGGTAGTTTCAAGAAACCCTGTGCCAAGGGCATTACACAGCAAGACAATGTGAAAGATTTTTGTAGTTTCAAGAAACCATCAGAGGAACCAGTGAAGCGCAGCGATGCCTTGCGTGGCAAGGTCAGAGACATTCTGGTCGAGTCGTTGAGCAGAGTCGCCAAGGAGGCTAAAGAGGCGTAACCCAATTTGCATTGCTGCAGATGTTGAATCAGTAATGTTTGAAAAGATGGGGCCTTTCAATGGCACCAAACAATTGAAGTACAGGTCTATATTGTTCAACCTGAAGGATCCAAAGAATCCAGATTTGAGAAGGAAAGTCTTTCTTGGACAAATTAAGGCAGAGAAACTTCTGACTATGACATCAGAAGAGATGGCAAGCAGTCAAAGGCAATTCGAGAATGAGCAAATCAGGAAGAAATCTATGTGCAAGAAGATGAAGAATGCAGAACTGGAGAACAAATCAGTTGATCCTAAGGAGTATTGAAGCCTGTATAGCTTGTAAAATCAATATGTATGCAAAAATGCAATTATTTTAACAATTAATGATGCTATTGTACAGTTACTCTAATTCACAGTTTATTTTAGAGATGTTGATTGTCTCATATTTTAGTGAAATCTATAGAGGGTAATTTGCACTTCAGTAGTTCGTTTTTTACAATGCAGTTGAACAAGAAAGTTAACAAACCTCTTCAAAAGTTTATCATTGTCCTCGTATTTCCTTCTTCTAAAGGAATCAAGGATAAGGATCCAAATCCCATGGAAATAATTGGTGAAATCCAAGTAACAAACCTGGTCTAGGGACCATTGAAGTTAGTGATAGTTGCCATTGGCCAATGCCTTTTATTCTAACATCAATGACCGCTTGGATACCACTATATATAAAAGAGAAGACGAGAGTTACATTGAAACATTACACATCAACCCATGTGGTCTCTTACAATAAACCCACCAAATCTATGAAAGTAAAGAAGCATATTTCTCAGCCAAGCTATTCCAATTTCCCCCACCCTGCTCCTTGAAAATGTTCCCATGGAGACAAGTTTCATTAAAAATTGCTTTCATGACTGCAAGAAACTATGTCCAACAAGATTGGCTCGCCTCCCCAAATTCACTCCATGCCGTTTTCAACTTTATCATGCCTGTCCTCTTTAACTTCCTTGAATTGATGTATAAGGAAAGGACTATTCTCCATTTAATACTCATCCCATTACCATGTGGATTGGCCTTGGTTGTTTGTTAGCATATTGCCTGCCTGGTTCATGGAGTTGAAATAGTCCATGACAGCATAGTTTTAAATTACGTCTATTACGTTAAACTATGTCACTATAAAAAATCATTAAATTAGATCATCGTTAATTCAGAAAAAGCCATTGCTAATGTAATTTAGTGACGGTTTTACGACGGTCCAAGGACCCCTCATAAAATGCCGGTCGCTAAATTTTAGCGACGATTTTTGGACCATCGCTAATTTTACGACGAACTAAACCGTCGCAAAAAAAAAAAAAAAAAAAAAAACCGTCGTTAAATATGATAGTAAATCGAGGGAATATTTACGATTGTGCAAAAAAACCCTCGCTAAGTCCGTCGTAATTTAGCAATGGTTTGTTTCCCGTCGCAATTTATTTAAGATTAACGAAGGTAAAAACCGTCGCTAATCGTCTTATTCTTAATTTTTTTTTACCCCTAATTTAAATATCTAAAATTAAGCAATTGCTATTTAAAAAGTCTACTAAATATCCAAAATATAATATTTTAAAATTTCATAATTTTTAATATAAATTGTATTAAAACATAATAAATATTATTCAATTATTAAATTCTTGAAAACGAGTACAAAGTTTGTTGTTATTACAAGAAAACATGATAGCTAGGAGAAATTGGCGGGATCATCACTCGGAGATTGGGTGGAGTCGTCGTCAATCTCGGGTATGATGGATGAACTACCACCTTGCTGAAAATACTACGGGAACATCTCGTCGCATATGTGCCATCATCGTATGTTCGTTGTCGAGTATACTCCTTTAACTCATTTGTTGTAGCCAACAACAATGTGACAAGTACTCTCTAATGATGTGATAGTACCTCGTAGCTTTTAGATCTCTATCGTATTTGCAAATGTTTGATCATAAACTTCCTTTCGTCGTGCCTCTCACCGAGCATAAACCGCAAAGTTGTCGATCTTGAGACTCGTATCGACATTAGAGTGATAGTGAGATGTGTGTGACTCGAGTCCGTACATCATTTTTCTCTTACTACCTCTTCCACCAACGGCCTTCCTATAAATCTCATTAATGTTAACGTTGATCGATGTAGTCCCTCCCAACTATCGGCTAGCAACCTCCTCCTCATTTATTAATCTTTTTACGATCTTTTGCATAATTGTGAAACACATAATATTAAACGAGTTATGTGAAATAACGTTACAAATTAATATATATGAAATAACTTTAACTTACGTCGATAAGTCTTGAACATTGATCGACGAAGACATACCGATCATCAACTTTCCTCCGATGAGTCCTCAAGAAAACCTCGTGAGGATCGGGTTCACGACCCAACACCTCATGCCGAAACCAATATACGTAAATGTATTAAATATACTCAAATATTTAATTAATTATTTTGGATATCATTATAAAAAATATTATATATATTTACTATGCGTATTACGAGCTCTCTATAATCGATCGATCTCTCCGTATGTCATGAAGGACCAACTCGACACCTTCGGTCCCAATCCTATGATTCTATGTCGCCATCTCGGATCGGGCAATGGCCTCGGGTTTTGCCCATTCCATAATCCATGCATCTTATGTGTCCTATGAGATAAATGTTGGCTTCGGTCTTATCTTGAGACGACTAAGAAAGTCGGAATGCTCGCTTCCATGCCAAACTTTTTCACGCTTTCTTAACTATGCTCTCGTTGATATCATCATCCCACGTCAATGATTTATGCAAGAAAAATAATAATATTCATTAGTAAATTTATTTGGATACTATTATTTGTTATTTAAATATAAAGTAATATAATAAATTAATTAAATAAATTAGTACCTTAAACTCTTCCCGATAGAAGTCTTCTATCTCTAGAGTCATTTTCTTTCACGTCCACCTAAAAATATGAACATACTTGTGGAATCTCTTATAGATCGTGCAAGAGAAAACATTAAAGGGATACAACCTATGAAAATAGAAATTAATTTAACAAATAAATGAATACATAATTATGAATAATTATGGTAATAATTGTTTTTATATATAAAATGAAGCATAAAACATACTCATTGCGATAAATGACAATAACCCTAACTCTCGGATTGAGCGTGGATCCGATAGGTTTTGAAGTTGATGAACGAGGGACATTCTACGATGGGACGTGTTTAGGATAGAACAATTATCTTGTTGTGATGACGAAGGCACTAACGACGACGAAGGAAAAGATGAGGGAACATGGAGGTTCGTAATAAGGATACGAGCTCGAGTTGAGACATGTCGGGCCTCGAAGGGTATGTCGAGGGGCATCGAAGAGTAGACGGGAGGCACGTCCATGGGGGCTCATCCGACCAGGAAAGGAATGAGAATGGCATCCACGTCCACAATCACTACCCGAATCGATATCGAACTACGAACCTCACTATATGACATGACCCAATGCATCCCGAACGTCCTCTACCTCGCGACATTATGATCTACACATTATTACATTCATTAGTATTAAAGTAAAATATTCATTATATAATACTAACATATAACATTCATATTAATATGAACAATTTTAAATATATTTATTTAACGAATAACATATATCAAACAATATGAACACACAAACATATATTTAAATGTTACCTTCAAAAAGTACACATAAACTATGTAGGATAACAAAATCATATACCTAATTTTTTTTAAAGAATAGAGATGTACCCCGGAGGTATATTGAAATAATGTGAAAAATTACATAGGAGGACAAAACCGAGTCTAGCCCAATAACTCGGGAGGACAAGGTTACCTAAACCCTTGATTTGCTACTACAATTACATAAAATCCATATGGACAATTTGTTAATTGAATGTAAAAAACAATATTACATAATCTAATAGGATCCACCATATCGCTAATCGGTAGCATGGTCATCATTCTCACATTATTCATCTAAGTGTTCCTCAACATCCGTTCAAACTCATCTTCATTCCGTACATTAATTTCACTCCCTTCTAAATCTAGAAACGCTCCAGTTAGGTCATTCAATGATTGACTTTCATCATCATCAACTTGGATAACATTGTGTTAGCTTTTCATTTTATTTTCTTGAAAGGGTTTGATATTTGTTTGGTCGACGGTAATTGACGATTCTAGCACATCCACTCGTCGAACTAGGTTTTACCTTACATACCACAAACTAATCGTGTCTAATGTATTTCGATGTAGGATATGTTACATAATATACTTGATGCGTTTGTAATGCTAGTATGAAGGGATTAGATCTATTTGAAGACCTATGATTATTGACCTTTATTAGTCCATGATGATCATGAACTCCCCGATCGATACCGAGTGTAGTATCATACCTATCACATTTGAACAAAACGATTTTCTTGGTTGGTAAGACAGGATAATCAAGTTCAAGTATATTAGTCAATCTACTATAGTAGTCATTTTTCACCACACTATAGCTAACTCTTTTTACACACTCTACTCCACATTGATGCTATCTCTAAATCATGAACATCGATGTAAAACTTATATTCATTCACAATGTATCCCGGATAAAACTTAGCTATTTGTAATGGTCCTTTTGCCGGATCTTTAATGCAATGATTTGTTACCGTATTGGGTTGTGTCTTACTTACTCGTAAAGCCCGGATCCATTACTTAATGTTAGTATAAAATTTGATAAAATCATTTTTTCATAATTAAAAAAAAATCTTTACTTTCTTATACTCACGTATCGATGGAACCAGGAAGCAAAATCGGTTTCAAGCCGAACATCTACCTCGTTCTTTTATATATCGGGATCACTTTCATAAAGTTGAGTGATAAAATATATGAGAAAGAAAAAATTCTTATTATGTGTTATTAAAATGATTGATACTTAATGAAGTAATGTATAATAATATTTGATAGTTATAGCACTTACTCCTTGTAAGGTGTCACCTCATCACAATTCAATAAAATGTAGCTATAAGATGTATTTTTCTTGATCCGTCAAGACATATGATCTTGCTCGACCAAGTGGTCTACCTTTGGGTTTGAATATTGAAAGCATTCCTTCAATGTCATCACTTGGTTCTCGAGGACACTCAAAGTTTGGAGGCACTTTTCGATGCCTAGTGTGTACATGAGGGTCGAAGTAATATAAACGGAATATTGAAGCTTCCTCAACCAAATATGCGTTGCATATTGACCCTTTAACTACGGCTTTGTTCTTAATATAGTTTTTTAATTTTTGAAGGTACCTATAATATTATAAATGCATTATACTTAATA